CCTGACTACCCGTCTCCCCTCCTCGGTCGTATCCGTGTTGGCAAAGCAATGAACTTTGATGCTGAAGTAATGCGAGGTCATGATTAGTCTAAAAATGCAGCATTGCGAGTAGGATGGAAATAGATTTAGTGTGTAGCTTACATTGTTGTTCGGTTGTCTGGAGTGTGTCGATGGAGCTATTAAAGCTGGAAACCTTTGCCTGTCAACTGATCATGTCTCCTTATTGCAGCTGGCCGAGGTGCCTCGCGCTAGTCATGCAAAGCAGTAAGTTTAGCAGCTGCAGATATCAAAGAGGGCAAACCAGCTCCTGGCTACTGGAGCTCAGTGGTTAGGGTTGACAATGCCCCATAATCGTTGGACTATGTTTGTTTCGCTTATGGTTTTTATTTTGTGATGATGCGTTCTTTGAGGAATGCAGAATGCTAGTTATGGAATCAGTAAAAGAAGGGCTAGTTGAGCACTTAAGCTTTTTCAGATAGGCTGGTTTTCATCCTCTCATGCCCCATTTGTGTATGTTGTCTTTCAATGCGGCATTTATTTTTGTTTTCTTTCAAAATGTGGTTTTCAGTTTTATCCCAGTTGACAAAGACAACAAACCACCTCCTGGCATCTGAAATTCAGTGGTCAGGGACTCAGCGAGTCAGCGTTAACCGTGCTATATAACATTGGCCTATGTTTCACTTGTGGTTTGTTTGTGATCCTTTCTTTGTGGAATGCCGGTTATGGAGTCAGTAAACGTAGACTAGTCGAATTATAGCTTATTCAGGTGTACGGGTTTTTGTCCTTCCATGCCCCATTTGTATTTGCTTCTTTCAATGTGGTTTTTACTTGATCCCAGCTGTCTCAACTATCATGCTTTTACACACTGAGCCAAACCACAATCGATTTTGTCTGACAATGATTAGTTGTTGGCTGATTACCTTGATGCTAGTGCTCTATCTTTTTGGGAAAACTGCCTTTCCTACGATTTTTTCCATAACATTAACTAGAAATGCTCAAATGCATTATACATGCTTCTACTCACAGCAAAAATTGAACTTTAATGCGATGAGTTATGTTCTCTTATTCTTCAATGTAGCTTTCCATGTATGTGCAACTTATGTTCTCTTCTTCAAGTGAAAATCTATTTTCACTATGTTCTGTCTCAAATGCTATTCATCATTGATTTCAACACTGAGACAGCCCCCCTCCCCTCATCCCTTCTCTTTTTTCCCTCTTGGTTTCTCCTACCTAAAGTGCAAAGGATTTAATTTACCACTGCAGCTGGCCGAGTTGGCTGGCTCATGTTCTGTCAGTCAGTAAGTATAGCAGCTGCATACATTAAAGAGGGCAAACCAGCTAATGGCTACTTAACTTTAGTTGTTGTGGTTGACACTGCTGCACAGTACACATACCAAATCCACTTGTACTGATATCTGCATCTAATATAATTTATTGGTGTCAAGGCTGAAACAGAGTGATTTACATGTGGGAAGCACAGTTCACACTAAGAACATATTGTATAGGATTTAGTGATCCTTCCACATGATATTAGACATCAAAGAGGGCAAACCAGCTCATGGCTCCTGGAGTTGAGTGATTGGGGTTGACAATGTCCCATTACATTGGACTATGTTTGTTGTTTGTTTTGTTTGCTGCCTTTTTTACTTTGTGATCATGTGTTCTTTCATGCAGTTGTGTAATCAGTTAAAGATGGCTAGTTGGTGACTTGAGCTTATTCAGATAGGCTGGTTTTTGTCCTTCCATGCTCTATTTCTGTTTGTTTTCGTTCAATGTGAAATTTTTGTTTCTCTTTCAATGCAGTTTTCTGCTTATCCCAGATTTCCAGGTGACAGAGAGTAAACCATCTCCTGGCATCTGGGGTTCAGTGGTTGGAGTTGAAGTTTTTCATAACATTGGGCTATGTTTCACCTGTGATTTTTTTTTTTGGAGTGCTGGTTATGGTGTCAGTAAACATAGACCAGTTGAGTGCTTGAGCTTATTCTGATGGACGGGTTTTCGTCCTTCCATGCCCCCTATTGTTTTTGTTTTCTCCCAATGTAGTTTTCAGTTTATCCCATCTGTGTCAGCTATGATGCTTTTACACACAACCAACTCACAATCTATCTTATCTGAAAATGATTAGTTGGCTTATTAATCAAACGCCGGTGTCCTGTCTTATGGGAAAACAGCCTCCTTACAATTTTTCGACATCATTTGCTAGAATCTATATTATACTTTTTTGTACATGCAAAAAATATTGTATTTTTTAACAGTTGAGTTATGTTTTCTGTTATTCAGTTTATCTTCTCAATTATTTTCTTAAGGGAAAACCTATGTTCACTTCTGTTTATTTTCTTTTTTTTTTCTTTTGTTCCTTGTTATCTCCTACTTGAAGTGCAAGGGATTTTTTATTTTATTTTATTTTTTTATCATTGCAGCTGGCCGAGTTGCCTGGCTCAAGTTCTGCCAGTCAATAAGTATAGCAGCTGCATACATTAAAGAGGGCAAACCAGCTCATGGCTACTTAGCTTTAGTTGTTGTGGTTGACACTGCTCTACAGTACACATGGCAAATCCGCTTCTTGTATTGATATGTCATCGAATATAACATCAAGGCTAAATCAGAGAATTTATGATTGACATGTGAAACATAATTTGCAGTTGTAGCTGATTGTATGTTCTCTTAATATAATGATATGCAGCTCTTCTGCATGTTTGAGAAAAAGGAACTCATTGTACAGGATTTAGCTATTTTTGTATGATATCAGCCTTTATTAAAAAATGATTTTGGTTACCTAGTGTTTTGTCAAATCTCATGTCTACTGTAGCTTTATGAAGAGCAGTGAGGAAAGTTTGTCAAATTTCATGTCTTACTGTTGCTTTTTTTAAGAGCTATGCACGTCAATAAATGATCTGAGAAGTAAATTCAATTTCTCCCAAATCTAGTTATGCTGTTTCCTGTTAGTTATGTTACTTCCTGCTCACTGAGGCTGAGCTTGCCCACATATCATTCACATTTGACACATGCTTTAATTTGTTGTAGTGTACTTAGTACTAGATTCTGTTTCATAAGAGTTCCTTTCCCTCCCTCAAAATGCAATAACATGACACGGAAACACATCTTTGCAGGCTGGTGCACGATCAGGGTGCTCAATCAGCGCATCACGCAAATGCAAGCCTCCCTGGTGGAAAGGCTTATTTGTAGCTGCCCCGACTGATTATGAAGAAAGAGAGAGATGTGAAGAGCGAGAGATGGCTGCCTGTCTCGAGGCAGCAAAGGAGGCTTGCATCAAGTTTGCAAAGGAAAAGTGTCTTGGACCATTCCGAGATGCAAGGATCGCCTCCGAGGGTCTCCTGGAAAATACACATTTTGATATCTGGGGAGCTGCCGCTGACAAAAGTTCCTCAAATTCATTGTGTGCTCTGAACAATCAGCAGTCGTTTAGCCCTGATCCTGGTGTGACGAACTACACAGGAAGTGATGTGCTTGACAGCTTGTCATCAAAAGAAAATAACAGCTCTGGATGATGACCGCCAAAGGCGTTAGTGTGGTCAAGACACTGCGATGGAATTTGGAATCAGATTGAATTAATCAAATAATGACATACATGAGGTCTGATGATGGTGGTTTTATGCCATGCTTGCGGTTCTGTTAATTACTAGGGAAGGTGAAAAAGGTAATTTCTGGGAATGAATGCAGAGGATCAACAAAGAGAAGAAAAGACCGAGGCCTGGTGGCCAAGGGCAAGATCGGTGGACATGGAGTTGAAAGCAAGACAACCTGGTGGTTAGTGTTGTTTTTGGGATTATTTCAGATCATTGGACGAATCTGGGCAACACTACATGTGTAATGTTGCTCGATACGTTAGGTTGTGAAGGATTGATTTATCTGCGGAGGTTCAGTTCGATAGAACTCGTTACAGTGTTCCTTCCGGAGCGGTAATTCATTGATGTCCAGAAGTGTGTACGTACACTGTAAATAGTTTTTTTTTTAAAGCAATGGAGTGTGAGTAATACAGTTTAACCGTTTAGTTATAGCAGCCAAAGTATATATCTGTACATTGTGTTGTTGGAGCAAGCTTTGCCTCATTGCTAACATAACACTTAGTGATGACAATTGATTTTTCTCGAAACACGGAGCTGTAAAACTCAGTCCTGGGCATGTGTTATTCTTGCGACTGTAGACACGCATCCTTGTGCGGTGGCTGTGACTGAAAATCAATGTATGATGAATTGTCGATGATCCTTGTGCTGCCTAGACAAAGCATGACAGCTTAATCGTGGTAATAATGAACCTTCTTTGGCTTGTACAGGTCACTGGCACAACCTGTGGCTAGCGTCTTGAGAAGGTCCTTGGCACTGAGCTCTGCCATATCCTTCGTGTGCCATTCAAAACTGAATGGAATTGTTCGCGAGTGGATCTCGCGTTTTGATGTCTGGCCATACCTGGAGACTTACACTGATGATGATGCATTATCATCTCGTGCTTAGTACAGAATCTGACATGATCACTTTCTTGTTCTCCTTGTTTAGTAGGGTAAAACCTGAAGATGATGCATTGCAAGGAGGTCCTCTCACGAACAGAAAGGTGATGCATTTGTGTACTGATCTTGGTTCAATTTTGTGAGGATGCAATTGTTGAATTTTAGATGGCCCACGTATCTATTGTGATGTCCTCAAAATTCTGGGCCCAAAAAAAATTTACAGGTATTCCTTTTGATTTCTCAAGGTTTGTTTTGACCCTGGTAACTGCATATGCTAAAAAACCATATATTCACTGAAAGTATGAATAGTCTCTTTCCAGTACAACAACAGTTTGATGAATAATAGGTACTCTCAAGCTGGGAAAAGTGGAACACACGATAGTACAGAAAAGAAACAACCTATATATATAAATAAGTAAATAACAAATGCGAAAGTAGACCAGAAAGCAGGCCACTAAATTGCTGATGACATCTCTGCTCTCTGGCGATGTACGCCTGCAGCCACTAGATTCAACAAGGTGGGGGCATATATAGCTCAGCTGAGTGGGTCCACGTCGTTAAGGTCTTCTGGGTCCAGGAGCTGGTGCCCGTGGCCCACATTCCCAACGTAACCTGCGTGGGACAGGAGAGCCCACAGGTGCGTTATGAGCTCTCCGTTTCTTGGTAGATGGGTCATATGCTTGGCTGCTCTTGTGGACGCTGCCAAGTGCAGGAGGAATCCCGTCCAAAACTTTGCCAGGTCCCTCCAGAGGCCTTCCTGGTCCTCATCTGTGTATGCATCAATCAGCTGTACCCCGAGCTCTGAAGCCATCTTAATTATGGTGTTGTCAAAGCCGTTGTTGTCTCCATTGGGTCCGCCATTGTTAGGCTCTTCGTTGTGGGGTTCCTCGTCGACGACTCTAAAATTGTCACCATTGTTGCCTTCCTCAGGATCTTCATCAATAACCCCATCTGCTTGGAACATCTGCTCCTCAGTGGCTATCCCAACGGCGCCGTCTTGTTGCTGGTTTTCTTCCACAGGGGCTTCGCCTTCGCCAGGCCTTCGTGTTTTGTCTTTGGAAGCAGCGATCTCCACGAGTTTATCATAGATCGTTTGCAAGCTTACATGCCGATCTTGGAGAAAAATAGCACGTTTTGTTTCCCGGCGTACCTCGTCGAATACTCTGTCAGCAACAAGGCCGTTCTCTGGTACCATCCTCTGGGTAAGCAGATACGCGCAGTAGTTGGATATGCTGACGGCCGTTATGTAATTTTCCCACAAATCTCTGGAAAGTTTCGACTCCTTGATCAGTGGCTTTGATCGCATCCAGTAAACCTGACGCTGTCTGGCATCATCCGTGAGTTTAATCTCACAGACGCCTGTCGCAATATGCCAGAGCAGTATTCTGTGGGTGTCAGTCTCCAGTCCGCGTGTCCACTGCAGGTCACTGAAAAGGTTTGGATTTGATCCGAAGGCATTTGACAAGTAGTTCAACCTCTGCTCATCTTGCTGCAGCAGCTTGAATGAATCAAATATAGCCTTCTGTACCTCTGCCCTCAGCTTGACTGTCGACGTATTCTTCAATATATTGCGAGCTGAAATCAAGAGGTTGTACTGACGGATCTGACGTTTCCATTTACTTGTGGGCATAAACCACAAAAGCAGCCTCCAAAACTTCTCAACCAGCGGCCGCCGCAAACATTGATGCTGGATATACATGCAGATCATCTGAACCTTTGTCCATGGCGCGAATACATATATATAGATTTCCCACAGCTCTTTGGCGATAATGATGGCGATGAAGAATCGGGTGGCGAACACTCCATGGACGATGCGGTTCTTGTCATTAGGATCAATTCTCTGGGGTATATGACCAACAGGGTATGCGATATATCCGATGGCCAGAATCAGCAACACAGACAGAATCATCCTCAGGAACGGGAACCCACCGGCGAATATTGCAGCGGCATGCCTGTTGTAGAATGTGTCCCGGAGGAAGGACAGCTCTACCTCAGTGACACGGAATGCTCTCTCGTAGTTCTCCGTGTTCTCCAGGATGTACTCAAAGACAAGCCGCCTCTTCTTATCTCGAGCTGCTACCACCGTGTCCTCGTGTATGGGGAGGTCGTAGAACCGGCGACGAAGCAGCTTGTGAAGGGCGAACGAGAGACTTGCATCTTTCAGTCGGTTCTTGGCGTCTCCGGTCTTGCCCAGCAAACCACACTCACCGCCGTCTCCGCCGACGACCCATATCTTCTCCACGGTGATGAGGTCTTTGTGTCCTGGGCTGAGCTGAATCCTGTAGTTGCCAGATCCGACTTTCCGCTCCTGTTGAAGAATTTCTCTAGAGAGCTTGTCTTCCCCATGAACCAAGTAGTTGTACCCGCACATGGTGGAAGAAGAAGAAGAAGAAGAAGAAGAACTGGCGTTGCCATTATTGCCTGCAGAGAGCGTGTGCTCGTACCGCATGTAGTCGGCGACGAGCCTCGTGTTGCCTTCGTTGCCTGCCTCTGCCTTGTTGGAGGAGAAGAAATAGGAGACCACCCGGGCTGCGTTGAGTGCCCAGATCAACCACAGAGGGAACTTGAGGTGGGAGACGGTCTGCACGCGGAGGAGATTGGCCGCCCACAACGACGACATGATGTCAAGCAAAGGGATCTGCTTGGACCTGCTGTACGGGCGCCCGACATTGACGCTGCACTGCAGGGTGGCCAGGAGCACCGCCCACACCTGGAAGTAGTCGTTCACCCGCGCCGCCGATAGCTGCATCTGCCCAATGGTGTAGTGCACCATGTTGTAGTTGAGCAGGGAGAGGACCTGGACGGTGGCCGTCGTGAACTTGCTGGTGTAGACTCGCGCGCCGGAGGACTCGATGAGGAACCGAATCACCAGTAGCAGCGCAGTGATCACCACCCACAGCTCCACGCTCGCTCCTCCGGTGACTTTGTCGAGCTTAAAGAGCCTTTTCATCGCCGAAAATATTGTGCCTGCAACTGCAGCTGCAGAGGACGACCCCATCTCAAATTCTTTCGATTCAACACCTCCTCTTACTTGTTGGCTACCTAGCTAGATCAACAACGCTCGCGATTTCGTGTTCATTGGCATGGGATGCCAACACCGAACATATGAGATCGGAGTAACTGACTTGAATTGAGGGATTTCAAGCCAAGTCCGCCGATTGGAGTCTTATGGTGATAGGGAACGATGGATCTTGACTCACTGTTGAGTCTTCGTTCAAACCGCGGGAAGGCGTGTGGGGACAGGGCCATCTTTTTTTTATTCGCTAGCAAACACTATTACAAGAAACTTAACCGAGGTGGGCAAGCCAACCGCCTCGGTCCAAAAGTCAAGGTTAATCGTGGCCGACCAACCGCCTCGGTTAATCGTTTAACTGAGGCGGGCGGCGTACCTCGGTTAATCGTTTAATGGAGGTGGTTGAGTTAAGCAGCAGCCCGCCTCCGTAAATAATTTCAGGAAATAAAAAAAAACCACCGAACCCGGTAGACCACCGAGCCTGGTCCCATGCATCGCCGCTGGCTGGATCCATGCCGCCGCAGCCGCCAGTGGCTAGATCAGCGTAGCTCACGATTTCGTATTCACTGGGATGCCAATAACGAGCATATTAGATCGGAGTACCTGACTTGCATTGAGGGATTTCAAGCCAATTGCCGATTGGAGTCTTATGGTGATAGGGAACGATGGATCTCGACTCACTGTTGAGTCTTCGTTCAAACCGCGGGAAGGCGTGTGTGGACAAGGGGCCATTTTTTTTTATTCATTCACAAAAGTACAAACGGAGGTGCCCACAAAATGTCCATGCAAACCATAGGGAGTAGGGACGGTCAAAATACTCCAACCAATGTGCAAGCAAAACAGGGAATCACATCACAGATGCATACTAATTAATTAACTTGCTCACAAGACCCTAACCAGCAAGCAAAGTAAGATATAAAATTGGCTACTATTTTACACTCACTACGTTTCCAAATTATAAGATATTTAACTTTTCTGTATACATTGCTTTAACTATATATACATAGACATATCTAAGTATACATAGCAAAAACTAATCATATGTCACTTTCATGAAATTATCACACAGGTCCTTCAACAAGTACAAGAAAAAGAGCAAGCAACATAGTCCATTTTGAAAGTTTGGGTTCACCGTACTCGAGCCCGATTCAATCGCAATGTCGTCGATGGGCAATGATCAGTGAGGTTCTATATCATTCATTACATGCACAGCCTCATCCAAGATGTCTACTCTGGCTCACTGGTTGCCCCTCGGGCCCTTTAGGTCCTGTTTGGTTGAGCTGTGGCTTTTGCAAAATCTACTGTGAGCTGTGGCTTTTGCAAAAGCTGCTGTGGGATAGCTAAATGCCCCTTTGGTTGAATCACTGTTACTTTTAGAAAAGCTACTGTCTCTTGCGAGTGGACCCCACACGTCATGGACACAACCCTCGTCATCTTCCTCTCGCCATCAGGATGGAGCTCGCGCCCAACGCCGACGCGGCCTAGAGATGTGTCGTGGCCATGCTCGCAGGGGAGGGGGTAGAGATGCTCCCGACGCTACCGAGGCCTGGATTTGCCCCGTTGCCGTGGCCACAGGGCAGGAGGTCGCGGACGTGTCAAGGCAGGGCTAGGCAGGGCAGGAGGCCGCGCCCGCCGTGGCTGGCAGGAGGCCGCGCCCGCCGTGGCTGGCCATGCCCGTCGACCGGGGTTGACCTTGGGAGTGCTGGGGATAGGGCCTCGATTCCTCGCGACCTCAATTCCTCGCGACCTGGGGCGGACATGGCGGAGGTCCTCGCCGGCCGCCGGGGATAGGGCAGGGGGTCGCCGGCGAGGGAAGGAGAGAGCGGCCAGACCGAAGCTCAGGAAGAGGCGGCACATCAGGATCTCGCCATGGAAGCCGTATGGCCACGCCATCAGGCCACAGGGGAAGGAGCTCGCACGCCGGGCATGGGGGAGGAGCTCGCGCCGGCCATGGGGCTGTTGACGATCACTAACACCTATTTTGACCATCAACATTTCACCCAAAAGCAAGATAAAGTTAGGAAAATCATCATCACATGTGTAAGATTTGCTTTATAATTCACCTAGTTCCACTTGTACATGGAAATATATTTGTATGTAGGAATTTTGGCCAAAATAGTGACAAATACACATATAGGAGGCAATTGGACATGGTAGGGGGGCAAGGGGCCCACATGCCACGCCGGCCGGTGCCACAAAGGCACCGCCAGGTGCCCCACTTGCCCCTTCCATGTCACCGATCCGTGGGAGCGATTCCCCAAGCCCTCTCAAGCGTTGATCCAATGTCGGTTTGCACCAATGGTCATGATGGAGTGGTCTTGGATCCATGGGTCCATTGTCATCGACTTGGAGCCTTCCAACCGACCTTGGAACCGCCTTACCAGCCAAATTTCGACATGTGCCAACTTCACAACCGCCTTTGGGAGCCAACCAAGGCCCTACGATCGAAGGCGGTTAAATGAAAGGCCGGCCGGCGCCCAAGTTACCTCCACCGACTTACTTGATGTCTATAAGTACCCCCCTGCAACAACCGACCTTGGAGATCTATAAATAGTGGTGTGAGGCGCCATTTGTAAACATCCCCATCTCATTCCATCACTCCAAGTGAGAGTAGTAGCTAGGCAAAGCTCTGTAGCTCTACTAGTTAGAAGTAGAAGATAGGGAGAGAGTGAGGAGAAGCTTGGAGAAGGGCCGGGGTTGTCGGCATCCTCTCCACTTGTGCTTCACTAGATGAAGCTCTTCTTCGAGTGAAGTCCAGCATCTTCTGTGGTAACTCTGCTCTTTTGCATTGCTTAAGTATTATTTATATTATTGTGTTTACTAGTTTCACCACTTGGTTAGAGTGCTCTAGTCTCATTTCATCGTGTACAGGATTAGAGTAGTGAGTCTATAGATTCAGCGTGGTACTTAGGCTATAGCTTGCCTGTGTTTACGGCTAGGCCTCCGGATAGATTGTTGTAGGTGGTGGGTGGTGACAGCCCTGTGTCCATCCTCTGTATTCCACCATGATAGGTCTAGTTATTAAATCATAGGGCTCATGGCAGACCTTGTCTAGTTATCCCTCCTGGTTGCTAGGCAGGCTGTGCCCCAAAGTAAACAACCGTGATATAGTATTCCTTAGTCTTGCCTTAGTTCAGAGAAACCACATATATCCCCTCTACCTATTATTTTACCCTTGTTCTATCCTTGGATAAACTTAGTTCTTAGTCTAGTTCACTTTGCGTTCCCCGTGGAAATACAATACCTTGGAATACTCCCAGGTGAAAGCTACATTGACATCCGTGTGCTTGCGGATTTATCTGTTTGCCATATCTAGTGTCAACAAGCTTTTTGGCGCCGTTGCCGGTGAACAGTAGCTGTTCTAGTTTAGAACCGAGTCATCCAAGTATCTTTTATCCTATATGTTTCATACCATGGATTGCATTCCTATCATTCGATTCCCTGTTCCAAAGGGTGCTAGTTTGGAGTCACCTCCATCATCAAAGCCTATGCTTACCAATAGTTATGAAATTCGCCCTTGTTTCATAACTAAAGTTCAGGAGCTATCTTTTTTTGGGGAAAAAGATGACAACCCATATGCTCATCTGCGAGAGTTCGAGCAAGTGTGTTCATGCCTTCACATTTTGGGCATGTCACACGAAACCCTTAAGTGGAAACTATTTCTGTTCTCTTTGACAAGATTAGCCAAACTGTGGTATACTCGAATCGTAGAGAGTGCACAAGGAGAGTGGAAAGTTCTTTGAGCCAAGTTTTGCTTAACCTTCTTCCCCATCCCCCGAGTTGGTAGTCTTCGAAGAGAGGTCCTAACCTTCAAGCAAAAAGAGAAGGAATCTCTAGGTGCCGCATGGGCACGCTTGATGAATCTCTATTTATCTGGCCCTGATCTTGGCATACCCAGTCCTATCCTTCTACAACACTTCTATCTAGGTCTTAGTGAGGACTCTACACAATTCCTTGACATCGCTTTAGGAGGAGCCATCTTACATCTTTCTAATAGTGAGGGGAGAGCTATCCTTGACACAATCCTTGAGAACTCTCCCTACACCGATGTCCATGATGATTCCCCTAGAGAAAAGGACATTCCAACCCCCAAGCAAGAAGAAGTTTTGACAGCTAAATCATTGCCAATTCCATCTAAAGCTTTAGCTACCGACCCAATTCCTGAACCATTCCTAGGGACACCAAGGGAAGAAGAAATTCATCCTTTGGAGTTGCCTTTTGAATTCGAGGAGGATCTTGTCCCCGATGTTGGGAACACCTTCAATCATCCAATCCAACAGAGATCTTTGGCATCCTTGACCCCAAATCATCATCTTCTCTATTCATCTCAAGATTTGGTTGCCCATGCTGTATGACGGTTCTGGAGGAAGAGAGCCTGCAGTAAAGCTAGGTTGTGGTGCACCCTTGGGCATGGTGAAACTCTTTTGTCATGATGTAATATGTGCTACCATCATGCTACTCTATTGCCTCGATGGCTAAAACTTATGGTTTGTATTAACTAAACAAATGGTTTGTAAACTTATGGTTTGTAAGACTTCTACTATTACTCCGATGTAATATATTTGTGTATTTGTATAAACTGTTGTAATACTACAATGCTTTCTGTGATGTATCCTGCTCGGAAAGAAAAAGTGGATGATTCGGGCTTCTTGAGGACACCCGACAGACTACCGGGATTATGTGGCTTATATGTGCAACAGTCAGAAGTCTGTGAGACAATAACGGGCACATGTGGGCCATATAATTTGGGCATTTCTACCACAGTCTATGGCAAGGAAGCGGTAGCCAGACATGATCATGAGTGGCGTGTACCAGTTCACATGTGGCTCGGTCCCTACTCCGGCACCCGCTAGCGCATCTCCGCTCGAGATGCTAATGGCTGGCGTGAGGTCCTATCGCAGTGGTCCTCATGCAGCACCGGCAAGGCACGCCCCGCCCGCACTGCATATTCGGTGAACCATTGCCCCCCTACTCGCTATCCGGCA